TACTTGCATTAAAAAGGGTATATGCAAATAATTATGATGCAAGCGCAGGGAAAAAGTGCCAAAGCAAGCAATAACAACAGTAAGTAATTCAAACAAAAGCAAAGTTATAAAGTTCAATTTCAATGTCTGCACTCAAAAAGGCGCAGAAAGTCTAAAAGTGTGTAGCCGAAATTAATATATCGACAACTCAACAAAGGAATCCGTGAAAATTAGYAAACGCGTGTGGCAACTTGTCTCGACTTTGGTTGAGATTTGTGTGTACAATTCGTAACTTTTGTTGTTTGTGGGGGGGGTGTTTATTTTTGTCGGATTTCGAATTCATTTCAGTGTAAAATAAGTAAACAGCAGCATGTTATAAAGACAGTAAAAACAAAACAAACAAACTGGTGTTCGAAAGTGCAGAGAGTCGGTGGTTAGAGTTCAAAAAACAAGTTTCTTTCCAGTGATTGCTGACGTAAACAACGAGTTTACGAAGAGTAAAGAAAAATACTCATTAAACAACGGGATTATAAAAAATAAGGAAATATATCATATACATTTATTATAAATTTTTATCTATATACAGGGTTTTCCAATAAGAGTAATATGATTTCTTAAAAAAATACTAGTTGTTGAGTAAGTTCTAATGTTTTTATTTAATGGGAAGTGCAATCAATACAATTAAGTTCTGAACATAACATCAATCCAATGGACTTCGCTACTTTTTTTGCAGTAACGAGCAGTTTTCGAGTACTTTTTTCATTAAATCAAGTCGCATGTTATGAATGGCAAGTTCAACATTGCTTTTTAGAGTATGATGGATTCTAGTTTATTGCCAAAGAYCGATGACTTCAAATAACCCCTAGAGAAATAGACTAATTGTGTTAAATCACAGCTTCTTGAAGGCCACTTACAGTCAAAATTTCTTTGAAATAATCGAATTCTTACAATTCTAACAATTGCATTGTTGCACGTGTTGTGTGGCGCTAAATGATGTGAAGATCAACTTCTTCAACTGTGGCCACAAAGAGTTGGTTATTAGCGATCCATACAGCTTTCCATTGATCGTAACCATGTCAAAGACAGATTTACGGAGCGACGATTCTACCACACAAAAACCTACACCAAACTCTATTTAGGTGAGTTTGATGTTAGTTAATAAATAATTGGTGGATTTTGTTTGCACCAGAGAGACAGTTCCGTTAATTTACTGCAACAATTCASATGAAAGTTAGCCTGAGCGCAGAAAAATCGTTAAACCAAAACAGAAAATTAACGACGTGTACGGTGATCCGATGGCAACAATATTATATTTTCATTACTTCGAGCATTGTTTTGTCTTCACCTCCCAACCTACCTTTCTGATCTACTCGTTAGTCACTGTAATGTATACACAAATGTGTGGATATGGCCTGTCTTGTGGCACAATTCCTCTTCTATTTAGCAAAACTGGCAGTTTCTGAGTGACTGCTTCYTTCAGACGTTTCAATTGTATATATATAAAATGTTATATTTATATACATACGTATAAATAAAAAAAAAAAAATAAATTGAGCTTATTTAGAAATACGAAAATACTTTTTCGACTACTTTATATTTTTGTTTTATTGGTAACCTCTAACGTTTAGGAAATTTTTAAATTACACTGCTCTCGCTCTCTGAGAGGCAGACCTGGGAACACACTTTCACACACTGAACTTCATTCTATGTAGCTAAATTTTTCGACAATTATTTTCACAATGGCTTGTGTTGATGAAATGCATTTTATTGAAAGAACTTGATTGTTACACAAATCCTCAACTCTCAAAACAAGTGCGAAACCCTATTAGAAAAGAAAAAACTAMGTGAAAAAATTTTTGTGAATAGTTCGTGCCTTTTCTTAGGTCCTTTACATTAAATATGTGTACAAACGAATACGGGCCGAATTTACACAAGTAATAAACAGGATTTTTAATTATCATTTCCGACTCACACCACGGCGCTGTGGTAGGCACATACATGTAAAGTAACTGAAAAAATTGTCAAAAATTAAAGGCGTCGTAATTTTTTCTTACTTCTGCTATCTTTCTTATTTACCAATTTCGCTKTCATTTCTTGTGTCACACAGCCTCGTATKAACACAAGCAAAATGCTGTTCAAATTTTCCCTTGATGGCTATGTGTTTGGAATATTTAATTTTGTAACTTACTTTCTGCCTGAACCAGGAACGAAACGCCCAACATTTTTCGTGTGTACACAAATGCAGGCACGGACAGTCGCTTGCAGGACAACAGCTCAATATAGACGCCTCGGAGAAATAGCGTGGGAGGTAGAGCGACCCGTCGTTAAGAGCGGATGGAACACACCGCAATGCCTAACAGCACGAAAATTGACTTAATTTCCGCTATGGCCACAATACGCGGTCTGTCGATTTTCGTATGCGTAGTTGGCAACGCAAGCGCCCGCTGCCGGCCAACAGCCATCTACGAACTGCGACGCTACAAACACTTAGCGTGTCCACTAAACAAGGGGACGCAGAGCACAGTAGACGGCGAAAAAGTTAAGCGACTTGGTCAACTGGGCGCTAGAATTGAATTGAGTGGCGCGAAGTTTCTAAAAAGGTAGAGTTCAGGAACTGATTTCGAGCAGGAGTCCGCATTCGTAATTGAACTTTAAAGGAAAGGGAAGAAATACAACAGAATGAAAGACTAAAGAATATGGAGGCAAGTCAGAAACAAATGTAAACTTACCAGCGAGGGGCGGACGAGGCGAGTGCAGGCTGCCGAAGTTGTCTACATTCTGTTTACTGTTGGTGAACGACAGCAAACTATTTGAATTTTTTATTGTTTTTGTGCAGCGCGTGCCCTTAGCGGGCACTCTAATGCTGTTCGTAAAGTTTTTATTTCATAAATTATTTTCTATAATTGTTKGACTGTGCACCCAAAATTTTGCAGGAGGGGCTATTTTCATGTGCGCTTGCAATGTTTCCTTTTTTAAGTCCCCTTTTCTATGTCTTTTCACGCTGACTGACTGAAATTAAGTTTTTTCTGTTGGGGCTTTGCTGGCGGAAAATTGGGCGATAAGTGCCTTTAAATACTAAAATAACGCTTGAAAAAGTAAAATAAGAAAATTCACTCAAATTAGGAATTCAAATAAAATAAGATAACTTCCACTACGCCGATGTTATGATATCCTTTGCCGATGCATTCCTTATAGCAACTGTTTGTAGTTCTTATTGTAGCATTGATTGATATAAACAACCTTTAAGTCTGTCGGTTATAATACCCAGAACTGCTAGGTGTGTATCAAAAGACCGTCTCTTGTCAACAAAGTGTTAAAACCTGCCAAAAATTTATTGAAGCGGCCAATCAATTACAGGCGCTTTGAATGGTTCGTAGAAACTCAGTTGGTTCGAACTTAGTCTGAAATTTCACCACCTAATTTTTTTTTGTAGCAAATTTTTACAAGTTGTGACTTCCAAAATCTTTAGCCGATCATCCCGGTGGTGTGAAGCAGGGGTACGCTTGCAGAAAGCCAGACGCTGAACCCAATTTTTGTTGGTTTTCATGCATAAATCGTCACAAGTTCACTCAAATTTCAACAAATCGATKGTGRCATTCGCTGTWTARCTTGTGTCGCCGTCCTTTTTGGAACCACAAGTCTATACCATCCAATTCTTGGCAAAAATATTCAGTTATCAGTGAGCGGTGGCGATTCACATTCATAGTAACGTGCTGGTCTTGATCTTTACTGAAGAAGTACGGTTGATGACTCCGCCGACCTATAAACCGAACCAAACMKGATTTCGGAATGCAATGGTGATTCATAGAGTACGTGTGGATTGCTGCTTGACCAATAACGCATATTTTACTTATTGACGCAGCCATACAACCAGAAATGAGCCTTAATGCTGAAGATGATTTTYCGATGAAAATCCGGATTATTTTCAAGTTGTTGCTCAGCCCAGTTCAGTTTCTTGCGTMAATTTGATCTTGTAAGGATATAGGCCAAAATCTTTCCGTAAAATTCGCTACAACGCCGCCAAAGAGATGTTCAAGGCTTGAGAATGACGTGTATGAGATTAATTTGGGTCTCTCGCAATTGATCCGCTAATATTTTCGACATATGGAGACTTCTTTGTCTCACTGGCACAGCATTGTGCCTGTGAATTGAAGTTTTTCCTCTAGAAGCTCAATTGTTGATCTGATAGGACGATTATGACGACCATAAATTCGATGTAGCGCTCTTAAAGTGGAGTCCACTGACACCGAATTTTGGTWGTGAATTTTMACATTTTTGCCTCGTTTTYKGATYGTATATCTTACCATGATGAAATAGCAAATCTTACTCAAGATTTATGTTAAAAGGGTGGGTAAAAATATAGTGTCGTTTACTCTTCTTTCTTCGTCTTTGTCGGAAAAAACCCGCCAGCTAGTGCTTTGGTATCGGAGGTTTCGACAAATTAACAGCTACTTGGGAAAAAGGGTCTCAAATTTGAAATCGATAACTCAAATCTAAGCGACTAATTTGCGTGTATACAGACAGGCAGATGCAAATGATTAAATGGACTCACTTTGCCAAGCTGATCGGGAAAGAAATTTGTATAACCTCGCAAATAAATCTAAATTATTCTGCTACTGTTATCTTTTTTGTAACTTGGAGAAGATCTAATGTAGTTCACTGCCCTAAATATAGTCGCGAAACTGCAAAAGCTAGAACTAAAAACACTGAGAAATTTCGTTTTTTTGTCGCTCCAGTAGAGCTTTTATATACAGTTTTTGTTCTTTTTTTGCTATTACAATAAATATTAAATATTAAAACTATGCAAAGCAATGTTACAGAGTGAGAAAATTAACATATATAGTATACACAAAGATATAAAATAATCTGTATACATAAATCCTATTTACATCAATTAATTAAAAGAAAAACCCAAATCCCTGTGAATAAATTAAATAAATAAAATAAATGAAATATATACATATATTACAAAATTCGTGACTAAGGAGCCACGCCGTCTTTCAGTTCTTGCTCCTGCTTAATTCAATTCACTCAGTGGCTTTCGGCGGCTGACTGAGACGTCTCAATTTCTTTGTGCTATCCGCACATTTAGTGGTGATGATGGTGCGAACATTCTTCTCAGACAAATTTGTGTTCTTTCTAACACAATATATGATATCTGAAACCTTGTCCGGATCTAATTGTCCCTTAAGAGGACGTTGACGGTCCTTAAATGCTGGTGAGGGCTTGCCGCTGAGTGTATTTTTGGCCAGAACCTTTTCCGAGAAGACCAAACAAAGCAGGCTGCGCGTGGCCGTGGACGGAACCTTAAATGATATGTCTTTGAACTGTTTGCTGGATACTGTTGTGCCATTCGGACCAAGCACTGTGTAATTGCAGTCGTCAGTAGGGGGCAAATTTTGTGCTTGCATAGGCGTTGAACTTGCAGCGGGTCGTGGGAGGTTAAATATTGGTGTACTAGTGCTGGTAACGCGATCATTCTCTGCGRAATTCAAAACCCGGATACTATTGTGCACGATCGGCATTTGCATAGTGGTAGAACTTATCTCGGGTTGAGACAAGGCAAGCGCTGCTGTATTGCTGCTGGCAGTGCGATTCATGGCATTAGAAATGCCGATGCCGCTTCCAGTACATGTAGCAACAGTTTCATATGCAGCTACTGATCCTATGGTTTCAATGGTATTAGTCGATTGCACCGCGTGTTCATTGTTTATTGAATGCCTGATGTTATTACTGTCAACAATATTGTATGTGTTGTTTTCAGAGGACATTGAATTTGTCATGACTTGTGTTGACGTGCTGGTGCTGGAAGGGCGATTATACTCCACGCTGTTCCTACTGTGTATATTATTGGTCAAGATTGGTATTTGCATGGTTGTTGAACTTGTCACGAGAGATGTTCCGGAACTTGTAGCAACAGTTTCATATGCAGCAATAGATTGTATGCCATCCATGCCGCTGTTCGGTTGGGCTTCCACGTCGTTAATTACTACATTTTTTATGGTGCYGTTGTTAGTGCTGTAACTGCCATTATAAATGATGCGAGGCGCCGTGTGCTGCCCTCCGTTTGAACCAACAGGGATTGCAATGACACTGGATCTACTTCTAATTGGTGCAGCATGCCGCGCATAAGGGTTGCTCGCAGAGACAGTTAATTGACGCTGTTCTAATAACACTTTTCGTACTGACATATTTCTTTGGTGCTCCATGATTCGTCTACATATTCTTGCAAGTTTAATCATTTTGTCCGTATATGTAAATCTAATTTTAATAATTTCTTGCGCTTCCTGGTCAAGTACGTTTCCAGGCTTTAATGCCGGTAGATACATTTCCAACCATCTGTTTAGCAACTTGTCTACTTCGTCCGGATCTGTAGCCCTATCAAACAAATCGACTTCGGCTTCGAACTCCTCCTCAGAAATAGCCGGTAGCTGTTGGAACTCCATACTTTTTATTACTATTTTGTTCAATTTTTTTGTAGTTTCTCCGTTTAGTTTGCTGTCAAGCTCGAGTGACTGTGACCATAGTTGGCCGTGTCACCAGCCTTTATAGGCCGGCTGGTTCACAGGTAGAATGTTGCACCTGAGGTCGTGCTGTTCAGGTAGTCGCGTATTCAGCTCAAATAATCTTAAATTTGAAAGTTGCTACACTGAAATGTCTTTTGTATATCCCTTATCTTTTATCCTGTGACACACCCATGGTATTTAACACATAACTCCATTTTCTATACAGAAAAAAAAAAATAAATACGACACTTAATTAGTTATTCTACACACCTATTTTGTTAACATATCCAAATATTTTTAGCATAATAATATTATTGCATTATTTAAATGCGTTCAAGGTAAGGAATTATAGCAACTGAATAACCCTAGCAATTCGTCGAAAGAAACAACTAAGGTCCTTTTGAGAGCGACCTAGAGCGATACATTCTTTGTATATTGCAAACCCTAGTTGTATCAAAGTATGACTTTAAATTTCTATAAACAGCTATTAAAAAGAAATCGAATAGTGTAGATGACTTTATTAATTCATATCTCGGGTTGTATAAGTGTGATATGGTAACACGATATGGCATTAAAAAGATGTGATTTCCTGCTAAAAATACATCTCTAACAGTTCTATGATTGCTTGACTGGAAACTTTTGCTATGCGTTTGGTAAGATCGGTAGGAAATCATCTACTAAGAGTTGCTTCTCTACTAATTCAGTAGTGTCAACATCTGAATCGTCTGAATGCAGAATTGTGCTCCATCAGAACAACAAAAGACTGCACACATCAATAGTGGCGTGCCAGAGGCTCCGAAAGTTTTATTGAGAGGTTCTTAAGCATCCACCTTATAGTCCGTACCTCGAACCATGTGGTCAATACTTGTTCTGTGTCTGGCAAAGGATTTTGCTGAGAAATTGAGAAAAGCTTGTGAAAATAGACAGTGAATAGTTTTTGTAAATATGGACGGAATTTTATATGAGAGTTGCGTTAAGAAATTGACTTCAAAATGTAATCAAATAAAACAATGCTTGTCTGACTAAAAAAAAAATTAAAAAAGTTAAAAAAAAAAAGTTTTTTTTTTTATTTCTGTAACTAAATTACATATTAAAGTCAAACAATAATTACAAATTATAATACTTAACTGTRGAACAAGTAAACTAAACATTAATATATAAATTATCTACAATAACATGGTATGATTAGATAATATTTCCTTAAAATATGAGCTCATAACTTATTTGTCTTAAAAGTATTTCCTTTGTGTTTCATCTCAACTTGTCCTTACACCCACAAGTTTTTTTAAACGTATTAAAATTATTAATTATACAAGTATATAATAAAAATGTATAGAAAAACTTATAAATTACGTAAAATACTTACAAATACAGCAATAAACATAAATCATACAAGGCAGGACTATGGAACATAAACGTGCTTGCAACTAATCCGCCCTGAAAGTGAGTATCCTTCTCTCCCCGTTATTCTTATTCGTTTTCCTTACTCCTTGTCATTGTTGCAATAGATTAAATTATGAAATCACTAATTATAAACAATATAATTATTGAAAAAGAAAATTTTAAATAAATATAATATATAATTTACCATATATGAAATATCTTATCCATAGACAAATCAAAGATCACTTGTCGCAACTTATCAATCAACTAATTATATATACATATATGTTTGTACATAAACCATCTTTAGATAACATAAAATAAAATATAAAACCAAATTGAACATATAATTTGTGGCTKCCGAGTCACCGTGGCTTCTATTCTTGCTTCTKTTTCAGTTTCTTTAACTTCTTTGTGCTATCCGAACATTTTGTGGTGATTATGGTGCGAACATTCCTTTCAGTGAAATCTGTGCGCGAKGTAATACAATGTATGATATCCGAAACTTTGTCCAGATTTAGTTGTCCCTTAAGAGGACGTTCACGACCCTTAAATGCTGGTGAGGGTTTACCGCTGAGTGTATTTCTCGCCAAGACCTCTTCCGTGAAAACCAAACAAAGCAAACTGCGCGTGGCCACGGCCGGCGCCTTAAAGGATATATCTTGGAAATCTCTGGTGCATACTGTTGTGCCATTSGGACCAATCACTGTGTACTTACAGTCGTCAGTAGGGGACAAATTTGGTATTCGCATAGGCAATGAACTTGCCGCAGGTGATGGGGGGGTAAATGTTGGTGTACCTGTGCTGTGTACTGAGGGTGCTGYAACGCTAAAACTACTTGTACTTGATCCAGCATGCGTCGTGTATGCGTCGCTTGCAGAGACATTTAATTGATTGGTAGAGCTTTTTTGGTGTTTCATAAAACTTCTATATATTCTTGAAAGCTTAGTTATTTTCTCCGTATGTGTAACTCTGCATTTAATAATATCTAGGGCATTCTGCGTGAGTTCACCAGGCTTCAATATGGGTAGATATAGTCTCAACCATCTCTTTATCACATTGTCTACTTCATCCGGATCTCTGGCCTTATCAAACAATTCGACTTCAGCTCTGTATTCCTCYTCAGACAGAATCGGTAGCAGGTGGTCCATACTATGTAATAATAATTTATTCAATACTTTGTGAAAATACAGTTTCTCTGTAACTTAGGAGTTTAGAAAAATTAGTTCTGTAGTCCACAGGTAGATTGTTATACCTGTGATGCCGTGCTATTCAGTATCAGGTATCCATCTCAAGCGCTGCAAATATAAAGAAAATAGTAAATTTGTTTTTGTAGCTCCGACAAACTTAAATTCGAAAGTTGCTACATCAGATGTCTTTTGCATATCTTTTACCATTTACATTGTGACACACCTATGATATTTAACACAGGTTTGTAATAACTCTTTTTTGCAATTACTCTCCGCCTTTCTTTTTGAGTAGTTGTGAAATTACCCAATCTTTCTATTGAGAAAGAATAACAAAAAAGAAGGACGGCACTTAGAYAGTTATCCCTTGAGCGAARTAGAATGTTACGGAAACAAYTACTTTGACYTGTCCAAATATTATTAGYATAATAATATTATTGCATTTTTCGAATGCGTTCAAGGTGAGGAATTTAGCAACTGCATAACCCTAGCATTACGTCGAATAAAACAGTTGAGGCGTTTTTTGAGGAGTTTGTTGTTTAATGACCYTGCTGACAAGAGGTGGTGCTTAAGTTCATAGAAATTGCATTYATTCCGCAGTATTGTGTATATTTATGTAAACCTTTTGTTGCAGCACATAYGAGAAAGGATTACGGCATAACCAATGCTTAAAAGAACTATATCTGTTTAGTTAAGAATGCCATTTCAGATGGGGTGGGTTCTAATATACTGAAATAGGGAGAATCGCACAGAATATATTCAAGTGTTTTGTAATAATAGCAATTCCTAGTACTAACTATCCCACAMTAAACTGCTGATGGATTACCCAATGCACTTCCATTTTATTAGTCGGCTGACCGTCACTATGCTTTGCTAAAATGAGACACCTACGACTCAAAATCTTACTATAGATTTGCATATGTAAATATGAAATAGCTGGATGCTTTAGTACTGGCATTACTGACAGTYATATGAACAGTACAATTACTGTCAATGTATACAGTTTTTCTAACAGTCACCAAAAAAAGATAGCACACATATCCATAGGAGTTTGGAGAAGTTGTCAAATACCTTTGTAGTTTTATATCTTGTCATAAACCAAAAGTTTTGCATGACTCTATGAAAGAACGAATTGAGATTTGAGCTACAAATATACTCGTATTATATATTTTTATGAAAGAGAGCATTTTTCAACTAAAATATACGTAAGTTATAAAATTTTCAAATAAAAATACATGGTTTGTAAATTTTCGTTGTTATTTAAGCATTTTTGAATTATGAAATGTCCACGAATCCAAAAAAGTGGCAGGCAGCGATCGAGAAAGTTTTTTCGTAATTGATTTAATTAAAACTTATAAATTTATTAAAAAATAAAACTTTGGTTATCTACTGCGCAAAATAATTTTTCWGTCGTGATAAATTTATAGTCGTAACTGAGATGCTTGATAGCTTTTCAGTCATTACGWATAAATTTCAGAATTAATGTAGTTATGGTTAGCAGTGACTAATTAAAAAGCAGTAAGCAACATAGTTATATAGTGAACCAAGTCCGAATGCCCTCAACACATGGGAGATGTAAAGTCATACACATAAGCTCGTTTACATCAGTGTTTGCATAAGGCGCTTACTGTTAGGTGGGTTTGAAAATTAAAAAAAAAAAAAAAATTGATTTATTGTTTATGTCTTATTAAATAGTATAATGTGTGTAAAATATGCTCRCAAAATATTAAGTAAAATTCTAAGAGAGTTTAGCGCACCAACTTTAATTGCATTTTTTGTTTTTCAAAACTCTATTTTTATATTCGGTGGACACGATTTCTCGAAAAATTATGGACCGATCTAGATCGAATTGTGTACACATCTTCAAAATGACGAAGGATTCCTTTCATTTCAACTTATTTTTTAAGCCATTAAATGGGGAAAAATTTACTAAAAAATGAGATTTTTTGTTCAATGTTTGAGGAAATATGAACATTTTAATTTGTTTTTGTTTTTTTTTTCATTCCAAAATGAGATTTCTATATGTACTAACGGCATATTTTTGGTTTTTATTTAAGATGAACCAAGAATAAGTTATGCTGTCCACGGCGAGAGCACTTTTTTTGTGAGAAACTCAGGGAGATGAGGTCACAACGGCTGGATTTTCAACGTTTTTATATAAACATTTCAGGAAACATTGTTCAAATTTGTACCTTTCATATGGCATATTATATTTTTGAAATATATGTACGACTCTTTATATTAGAAAAAATTTTAAAAATACCATTTTTTTGTAACTCTGAAACCTACATACCTAAACCCTTAACAAAATTATAGAAAGTTTGTTCCGCGCGCTAGCAAATTTTTTTCAGTTGTGACTGTCAAATCGCTGACCAGATTACATACACCGTCTTGTAGGGGATTAACGACTGTTAAAAAAATMTAATATTTTTGTGGTATGTGGCTTTATTAAGTTGTTGTTAAGTCTGGTTATGTAAGTGCAATATCGTTACACTATATGGTGTTTATTACTTAAAAAATTTATGAATCTTTGCATAATTTCCTTGAGGTATCATTTCAAATAAAAAAGCTTACACGTTCTCGGGCTTAGTGTAACAGTAAGAAGGCAAATATATTTACTTTTTTCCTCCGGCAGAGCATTTTTTTATTTCTCTTTATTGAATCAAATATTAAGGACAATCAATAATTACACATAACATGAATATGGAGAAAGAAAATTAAACATAAATTTATAAATTATGTGAAATACTACCTTTATACAGTATACTTAGATCATATTTGATTCATATCTAATAATATAAATCGAGCTCATAACAAATTTTCCTTAACATTTTTTATTTTTTTCTTAACTTTTTTTCGTACTCACAATTTTGTTTCACTAAAGTACGTATTAAAATCATTAATAATAAAATTTATAAATATATAGACACATAAATAGAAGAAATCATAAATTACATAAAATACTCTTACCAATACAATAATAAACATAAATCATATATAATTCACATATAAGAATGTGGAATGTAATCGAGCTCGCTGCGGTATCCTCCTCTGTATGTTATTCTTCTTCGTTTTCCTCTCTCCTTTCCATTTTTGTATTAAAGTAAATTGTAAAATCTCTAATTATAAATAATATTATTATCGAGTAAGAAAATTTTACATAAATATAGAAATTATCATATATATTATAAAATATCATATCGTATACAAATCTTATATAACTCACAAGTCATAATGTATAAGTCAAGTGCACAACTAATATTCCTTAAGAGTATACTCTTCATCATGGCTTTCCTCATTTCGTTTAATGAATTACTTCATTAATTATACATAATATAATTATAGCTTAAACCTTTACTTGAGTAATAAATCTTCCTCATCTAATAAATAAAAATAATAAAACAGCAATCAATTTCACAACTAAAGTAGGTAGTTTCCTGCTTCTTCTTCATTTCTCCGAATTTTGCGATTCAGGAATTTTACTGAGTCGTCTAAACTTCTTTGCGCTGTCTGCGCATTTTGTGGTGATTGTGCAGCGAACGTCGTGTTCGGTGAAATTTGTGCGCGATGTAATACACTGTATGACATCCGCAACCTTGTGCGGATTCAATAGACCTTTAGGAGGACGTCCACGTTTCCTAATTGCTGACGAGGGCTTGCCGTTGAGTGTATTTTTCGCCAGATCCTCTTCCGAGAATACCAAACAGAGCAAGTTGCGTGTGGCCATGGTCGGCGAACTGAATGATATGGTATTGAATTCTTTAGTTAGTACTATTGTACCATTCGGGCCAATCACAGTATAGCCATTATTGTTGGCAGCATGGGGCAAGGCTGGAACTCGCATGGGTGTTGAAGTTGCTGCCTGTAGTGAGCAGGTGAAATCTGGTAAACGCGCATGGGGAGTACGATGACTATTCGTTATTACACCACTTCTGGTAGCAACGCTATCATTAATAAGGCGACGCGACACCATTTTTTTGCTATTTGACCAACGTGTGGGTGTTGCTGGGTAAGCTGGATTACTTGCAATTGGCCTAATTGGACTGGTTGATCCAGCACTGCTTGCCATGCGCAACGGTGTTGTGGAAGCGAGACTGCTTGGAGAAGCGGAGTAACCGCTGTCGGTTGTTGAAGATACATCATCATTATCAAAATTTATTTCCGGGTTCAAGAGCTCATACTGATTTAAAACAGCAGCCAGTTTCTCCACTATCTCATATTTTGCTATAACAGCCGTCTGAACTTCTGCACTGAGTTTTCCAAGTTCTAACTTGGGATAATCCTCCATCCATTTGCTTATCAATCCCCTCATTTGTCTGGGATCGCTGACATGTCTCATCATCTCGTTTTCAGCTGCTATTGTAGCCTTAGAAATAATCGGGAGCATGACTTTATATTAGTATTTTCTTGGTATCTATTGAGTTCTCTCTATRGTGTATTTGCTGTCAATCTCTCGTGAATATGAAACTTTTTTAAGTCGTACTAAAGATGAGTCAATTGATGTTGTGCCGTTCGCCTCAAGCGCTGTAATTCCAAAGAAAATTGTGCATTAATTGTGTGAGCTTGAAACCAATGTATTCGAATCGGTTTGTTGTATACAGAAATGTCTTTAGTTGTCAAATACATACTTCGTTAAATTTAGTATTTATAAAGCTGCCCCATTCRGGAGTTGTTGAAATTGATCGAACAATGGCAAAAGCAATAGTAAATTTTTGTTTCTGTTATTTAAACMACTACTTAGCTTAGTTGTCGAAAAAAAAATATTCGATTGAAAGGWATGTTTGATTGTTGTTATTGTTTAATCTCCAATTATAGAATGACGAGCTTACAGTGATTTTTGGCTATGACATCTACCTAGGCAATTGCTTACTTCTCTTTCGTGTGTTGTTGTACAACTATTACGACATTTCGAAATCTAAAATTTTTTCCAATTTGAGCTGACCTACCATAATAAGAATAAAAACTCCCTATATCTTTATCTTTATCTTTATCTTTATCTTTATCTTTAACTTTATCTTTATCTTTATCTTTATCTTTATCTTTATCTTTATCTTTAACTTCATCTTTATCTTTATCTTTATCTTTATACATTTATCTTTATTTTTGTTTTT